TCTACAGCATGTGTCAGAGGGAGGACTGGGTGAGCTCCTGGGGAATAAATGCATAGCCTGGCAGTCTGGGCACTCAGGAGGCAGTGGGCTCCCTGGGGAGCTTCAAGAAATGGCAGCAAGGTCATTGTAAGGTGGATTTGCTGTCCAGGTAACCTCTTGCACCAGCAAGACCCCTGGTTTTTCTCAGCCTCTCCTGCTATCCTTCCTCCTGCTGTCCTACCAGCCCCTTTTGCCCATTTCTTTGAAGCAAAATGCAGGCTCTACAGAGTGCATCACAATCTCTGTCTCATATGTGGGCCAACATTTTTTGAGTAGAGTATTTGCAGCTCTGTTCCTGACCCAGCCGTGGGTGATGCAGGGGTTCACAGCTTACCGTGGCTGTTCAGGGAGACACAGCATTTTAATGATTTAAAAGAAATCAATATAAGAAAACCTAATAGGTGGCAAATCTAGAATGTTTGTTATGTTTTCATCCACTGACTTTTCTTTTGAAATAATATGCTCCATTAATATTTAAGAATAGGGACGCCGGGTGGCTCAGCTGCTGGCGCGTGTCAGACTCTTTGATTTTGGCATGATCATGATTCATGGTTTATGGGATCAGGCCATGTCATCAGGTCTCCACACCGAGCATGAAGTTTGCTTTAGATTTTTCTCTCCTCTCTCTGCCCCTTCCAATTTCAAAAATAAATAAATAAACTTTAAAAAATTAAAAATAAAAGAATAATCTGTGTATTAGGTGACATTGTCTTTTAATGAGTTGATCATGCTCCAAGTTATTTTTTGACCAACTGAATTTTGGCAAATTGGACTGGAGCTCTAATTCTCTACAGCATGTGTCAGAGGGAGGACTGGGTGAGCTCCTGGAGAATAAATGCATAGCTCAAGCAGTTCAAAATTAGGAGGTAGTGCCTCCCTTGGGGAGCTTCCAAGAAATGGCAGCAAAGGTCATTGTAAGGTGGATTTGCTGGGTCCAGGTAACCCTTGCACCAGCAAGACCCCTGGTTTTTCTCAGCCCTCCTGCTATCCTTCCTCCTGCTGTCCCACTGGGCCCTTGCCCATTTTCTTTGAAGCAAAATGCAGGCTCTCACAGAGCGCACTACACCCTGTCTCATATGTGGGCCAACATTTTTTGAGTAGAGTATTTGCAGCTCTGTTCCTGACCCAGCCGTGGGTGATGCAGGGGTTCACAGCTTACCGTGGCTGTTCAGGGAGACACAGCATTTGTATTCAAGTGTAGGTATTTGGTGAACATGGACAGTGGGGCTAAATTCACCCACTGATATTTAAAATGCTACTTGTAAACACAGAGAAATATGTTCTAGAAAGTGCTTTCCCTCAGGAACGAGTTAAGTGATTATAACTTCGCCTTTATCCATCTGCCGGACATGATCTGCATCCATGTCAATTAGTTAGCCAAACTCATGGTCTGCACCAGCCCGCCTG